GTTGGTTTTCTCATCTACTTCAGCTGTAACTGGAGTTTGATTTTTGTATTTTAAATGGTATCTAGTCACTGCCACATGGTGTCAGGACATGTATGGTCTGGAAGAGCTTTCTGATAGAGGCTTTCCTGCATCAAGGATCGTATAGCTGCAACTTTCCTCCCTAGCTTAAATACAATTTTGTATGTGGAGTGAATTTTGGAAAGGAAATTGTAACTTTGAAACACCGTTAGTGAGATTGGACAGGATGCTTTTGGGCCACATGTTACAAACAGGAAGGGCTGAGGCTGCTGGATGAGTGGCTGTCCTTAGTCCTCTCCTCAGCACTTTCAGAATCCACAAATGTATTATGAGACAGGCACTCATGTCCTTTGCTAAACCTCACTAACTAGAGATGGGGAGAAATGAAGAAAGTTGGTTTGCAAAGAATTAGACTTCTGCCCAAGGAGACTCAGAGCTGTAAGGAAAATTAAACACATTATAGACGTGGCTAGTGACAGATGAGAATAAGGTAATTTCCAAGAGCTCAAATTATCATGGAATCCTACAATGATTTGGGTTGGAAGAGACCTTTAAGATAATTCAGTTCCAAGACCCCTTCCACTAGACCCGGTTGCTCAAAGCCCCATCCAACCTGGCCTTGAACACTTCTAGAGGCTGGGCATCCACAGCTTCCCTGGGTAATCTGTTTCAGTGCTTTACCACTCTCACAGTAAAGAATTTTTTCCTGCTCTAAAGCCACCCTCTTTTCAGTGTACTTCCCTGTTTTATCACTACATGCCCCTGTAAAATGTCCCTCTCTAGCTTTCTTGTCACCCCCTCCTTGAGGTATCGAAGGGCTGTTCTAAGGTCTCCCTGAAACTTTCTCTTCTCCAGGCTGAAGAACTCCCTCAGCCTGTCTTCACAGGAGAGGTGGTCCAGTCCTCTGAGCATTTTCTTGGCCTCCTCTGTATTTGCTCCAACAGGTCCATGTCCTTCCAGTGCTGGGGATCCCAGAGCTGGATGCAGCACTCCAGGTGAACTCTCACCAGAGAGAATAGAGGGGCAGAATCACCTCCCTTGACCAGCTGCCCACACTGCTTTTGCTGCAGCCCAGAATATGGTTGAATTTAGGGGCTGGAAACATATGTTGCCAGCTCACATGAAGCTTCTTATCAACCAACATCCCCAGTCATAGAATCACAGATTCACAGAATCTGCTGAGCTGGAAGAGAACCATCAGGATCAAGTCCAACTCCTGGCCTTGCACAGGACACCCCAAGAGTCACACCATGCTCCCGAGAGCATTGTCCAAACCCTTCTTGAACTTTGTCAGGCTTGGTGCTGTGACCACTTCCCTGGGGAGCCTGTTCCAGTGCCCAAAAAAAACCCCAAGTTGTTCTCCTCAGTGCTGCTCTCAATCCATTCATCTCTCAACTTGTGTTTGGGCTTGGGATTGCCATGACCCCTGCACAGGATTTTGCACTCGGCCCTTCTGAACTTCATGAGGTTTGCATGGATCCACCTCCCAAGCCTGTCCAGGTCCCTCTGGACAGCATAGTTAGCTCTTTGACTTGCACATTATGTAAAAAAATTGTGTCTTGTATAAAAAGGGGCATGGGCAGATGGGACAGCCCCTAAGAAGAAAGTAAGGTGCAAGAGGGGCAGTGAGGGAAGTAAAGGGACACGTTATGCAACTTTCAATTAAATTCAACTCTCAATTAAATTCTTAATTGAGAAAAGTGTTTCAAATCTGCAGAAAACAGAGTGTTGCTCCCCTTGTTCCCTAGACAGAAAGGCACAGTTCTACAATCTCCTTTTATTGTCTTGCTGATAAGCAGGCATTTCACATTTCTAACACTGAAAAAAAAATGTCCTTTAGAAAAGTCGGTGCCATGGCCTTTTCCAGCTGGAACATTACAACCACAGCCTGGCTGGTCAGCTGAGTTTTTGCCCTGTAACACAATGTATCAGAGGTGGCTGCCCAAGGTGCTCCAGCTAGAAAGGGACAAAGCCTGCTGCAGGAGCAGCCAGCTTCAGCTCCTGCTTCCACCCTTGTCCACATGGGCAGCAGTGAAAATATGGTGCAAACTTCCCAGCTCTTGTGTTGATCTGGCTTGGTGTGCACTGGGATAACTCATGGAGTACCTGACTTTGTGTTCCCTTCCTGCAAACACTGACTACTAGCCAAAGCTTAGTCCTCTTCAGCAGATTTTACAAGGCCCCTATTGTGACCCCTATTGTTAGACTCCTCCTTTAAACAGCTTTAAAGTGAGCAAATTTTCCTTCTTTGATTCCCAAAGGATATTTCTATGTGGCACAGGGCTGATCCCGGTACCTCCCAGTTTCCAAGCAAGGCTCAGGATTACCTCTTCCTGGGAAAGCCCACCTCCTGGCCTGGCAATCCTGGTGGCCTGAAATGACCCACCCAAGCCACTGGTAACAAACTGAACATAAGTTTGTTTTTGCATTACTCAAGCTTGGTTCTGGTTAGTCTCAAGATCTGAAAGTGGAGCTATCAAAAATCGCTGAATCAGAGGAAATGGATCTCTGACAACAATAATATTTATGAATTCTTATGAAAAATTGCTGAAGATGTAAAAAAAAAAAAAAAAGTAGAAAAGAACACCACCTTCAGAAGTATGATTGTGCCTTGTTGCTCAGAGGAAACATGCATGCTGTTTTTGTCAGCTAACAAAATACTTTCTAACAAGGCATTCTGACAAAGCTGAAAGTATCTTACACCAGTGTGAGTCATTTTGGCTCCAAGTGCACTTCTTAGAAAAAGGAATCTCAAGAAAAAAATCTAAATAAGCACTGGTATGAAAGACAGTCTTTAAGTGACAGGCCTGGAAAGGCTATGCATGTTTGTACTCAATACAGAACAATTGCTGCTATCTTTCAACCCACACAATTGCTTCATGTTTTTTTCCTTTTTTTTTTTTAATACCAAGAAAGAAAAAAAAAAAAGTCACCTAGTTTCTTCCCTAACTTTTGGACACTGATAAAGTTCATTACTTCAGAGGTCTGTGATTACTTTTTGTGTGTAGCTGTGTGACCTCTGCTGGCAGATTCTTATCATGACTGCAGCAATTCACACACATATGTGTGGATACACTGGCATTCCAGTAAATCCTGCCCTACATACACAAAGAGACACAATACACAAGACTATATAATCCCTGCTCTGGAAAATAGACTCCCACGCTGGACAGGTGTGAAAAAAAAAAAAAAAAAAAAATTGTATAACCCATCTTTCTCCACTCACAGATATTTTACAGGGCAGTTTTTAGAATACCTTTGATAAACAGATATGACCATCTCACGATGGGGCCACTGGTGTTTACTCAGCATAATGGTCTAAATGTTCATTATTGCTTGGAAAGCCCCTACACTTCATCCTGTTAGAAGCAGGGAGGTTACACTGAGGAAAGGATTAGTCTCCACTTGCATTCCTTTCTTGTACTCCTTCTCATACCATCTGCTAACAGGCATTGTGGCAGAGAGGATACCAGCTAAATGGACCTTTATTCTGACTCAGCACGGCTGCAGACAGTCTGTCCGCTATGATACAGCGGCACAGTATAATTTGATACTTTAAAAAACTGGCCATTCACCTGCCAGACCACAATGCAACTTGCACTTAACAGTCTCGCTCTTTGTGATATCCAAGGTCATTTCTATTATTACAGCACAGTGCACGGAAATACCACAAATACCAAGAGAGCCTTATCTATTTATCATAGGTGAAACTGGCACGCTTTGCAGCACGACGGCTCCACGGCGGATCACAGGCATTCTGAGTTCACTTAAGTTTATAGTCAGGGACTGAGTTGGGAGCTCAGTGGATTCCATGCAAGCCTGTATCTCTGATGGCACTGCTGCAGCCACTCCTCAAGCGTCCAGCTTCCACTCTGACTCTGCTCCTTGACAGAAGGCTGAAAACACAAACATGACAGAAAAAAGACCCTGACAGAATTAGCGGTGAGAGCCAACAGCAAAGGGTAGGCACGGTTCTTCCCTCCCTACCTGGCTTTACACACCTGCTCACACCTAAAACGCAGGTACTAATACCTTGCCTTACCATGGCGGAAAAGGGAGATTCTACCCCAATCCTCCACCAATGCTGGTGCCAAATGCTGCTACCAAACCCAAAGCTCTTGAGACTCCAGAGCCCACCTGGCAGGGTCTTTTTGAGGGGAGCAGGGCAGGGTCCAGCACAGCCAGGCATCCATCATCCCGTATAAGGGTTCTCCCCATGGCAGTAGCAGAAGCAGCAGGTGGAGCCCAGAACCTGGAGGCCTGAAGCCCTGAAGCCTCGAAGCGGTGAACCTCGAAGCCCCGCAGCCCTGGGCCTTGAATCCCCGAGGCCGTGACTCCCTGAATTCCTGGATCCCAGGGCCTCCCTCAGGTGCGACGCGCGGGCAGGGCGCCCCCTGGCGGCTCTGGGCTCGCCCCTCCCCGCCCCCGGG